TTTTTCATGTAAGTCAATGTTGTAATGTTCTTAATAATATCTTAAATTACTTTACTTACTTACTTTGATTTCAAGCCTGAAATTCTGAATTGAAATTACAAAGCTTCTCGACTATTACCAACTCTCAAACTTAGTTTTTGTTGTAACTATGTCTGTTCCGCTATCCAACTTGTCAACGCAAAGTGACAGTTTTAGGAAAATTGAAATTTATACTGTCGTTTAAAATTATTAACACCTGCATCTCGCACAGAAAAACGTGTGCAAACCAGTAACAGATACGTGTGGCAACATTGTTGCAATGGCATAAGTGTCACCGCAGACAGGGTTCATGTGAATTCAATAACATAAAACTATAAAGTTACATACAATATTTATTATATAGTATTACCTTCTCGTGGAATATTCATGAATCTTCGTTTTTGTATTTATTAAAAATATCTCAGTTCAACAAAACATACTCAACTTTTAACGCGCATACATGATACATATAATAAATATTTAACTGGTGTTATATTATCTGTTGAGAACAGTGTTTACCTAGTGGCTTCAGCATAGGACTGTAATCCCTATAATATATAAAATATATATAATATATTTTATATATATATATAAAATATATATAATAAATAATATATATATATAAAATCCCTAAAATCGTAGATTTGATCCGCGGCCGTAAAAACTGGCCGCCGTGTTATGTTTCGTCTACTGTCAGATTTTTTTATAAATCAAGGGCAAACGGGCAGGGGGCTCACCTAATGTTAAGTGATACCCGCCACCCATGGACTTTCTTAATATCAGAGGTCTCGCGAGTGTGTTGCCGGCCTTTTAAGAATTTGTACGCTTTTTTCTTGAAGGACCCTAAGTCGAATTTTAGATTAAAATATTATTGTGTTTCTCTCGACTTATGTATGTTATATAATAAATTCGCGGTTATATCGTAAATAAATATATATATATCTGCCATATTAGAAAAAAATCAATGATATATAAAAGGATATTATTTTTCTCGATTATTAGTTGTTTGGTTTTCCTACTGGTACACGTGTTCGAAGACCCTAATATTGCCTGTCTACAGATGTTTACCGTGTGATATTACCGATTCGTTGTTTGAATAACAAAAACGTGAATTTATTGATTGTATCAGTGTTACACTTGATAAAGAAATTAATTTTTATTCTTATGTATACGCAGGAAGAAACTTTTTGCGCAGCTTAGATGTGTTTAACCTCGGTTAACTTTACTATGAACTTATATATAATTTATCGCAAGATGCCATAAATATATAAAAATCCGTCACAAATCATACATCTCATAATACTTTAAATTAAAAATCCTGTTGTGTCTTTACTTTATTCAGGTCAACGTATTACATACATTTTCTTTATTTAACAAAACCTTTATAATTATAAAAATATTTAAATTTTATATAAAAATAATATACTTAAAGGCCGATAATGAAAAGGTATTAAGATAAAAATGTCGAATCACAGCTCCTTCTTAAAACAGCTCCAAAGCTTTTTCTATGGTATGTAGTACCCCAAGTAATATTAAGGAGGCACATGGCTTTGGACCCCTTAAAAAATTAAAAAAAAACAGATAATATTAAATATATGACGTAAATGATATTCTAGAATATCCCAGTCCCAGTGACTTACATTAGGTTTGGTTAAAAATTTGTACCTTCTTTCATTCATTTCACAAATCATGATGTTTTAATTAATTTCTATGAAGTTAAAGAACATGCGCCACCACATTACTGCCCTGCGATTCTGTAACTCACTTTTCGAACTCACACAGCGGTTTTCGCATCGGCGGTCGCTCTCAAATCAGTTGCAAGCAGTCATTTTATGATTACCAAATCTTTTCTATTCTGAAAAGGTGGAAGCTTGTAGTTTATTGTTTATGCGAAAACCGCTGTGTGAGTTCGAAAAGTGAGTTACAGAATCGCAGGGCTGCATGGTTACACCATTGCCAAGTGATGAGAATATGTAGAAAACAATTTGGAGCTGCTTTCAGATGGAGCCGTGATTTGATAAATTTACCGGTATTTATTATTATATTAAGTTTAAAACTAAATCAAACGTATTTCTGAGTTCTTATTAAATTACTTCAATTGCACAAAAACAAAATGAATTCCTCGTTGTTCCAATGAATGACTCTGGCTTTGTTATAAAGTTCCTCTTGTGTTTAAGTACTTTTTACATTATCTAGATGTTTACCTCTAGACACACCCATCAGTAAAAAATCAGTTGCAAGAGTGCATTTGCAGCGTAACCATTGTGTCGTCTCGGAGAAATGTATTTCAGAAATATATGCACGCACTAGTGTATGTACTTGTACATAAGACATGAAAACATAGATTTTAACTATTTGCTGTTAGGTTTTTTGTTTTAATAGGTGATTTTTTTCCAACGGTATTTTGCATTTTGTTTACAAATCTGATTACATATGCTTTTAAATAAAGAAACATATGTTGAGAAAAATTTCTAAAACACTATCTTTTTTTCCGCATGTAATAAAGACTAAAGTACACCAAGTACATATGTTACAATCTAAAATACATGACAATTACAAATTTTGCTTTCTACTACTTAAAAATATTTCGCTTAACAATGCGGATTAGGTACATTATTTTAAACTGATCAGCCCACTACTGAATATAAAGCTCTGTAAGTAGCGTTTATTCCGTTGTATCCGTGAAGAATTCACTATGGTTCTATGTCAATAGTCAATAGAGATATAAGCACGAACGATAGTATGGGAGTGTCCGGTCACCACTGGACAGGGATTAATGTACTGAGCTCGGAGTGAATAAAACAAAACCCGCTCTTCCCTCCCTAGAAGACAGACCATAATTACTATGCTCCATTGATAGCTTCAACTCGATGTCTGATTAATAGCTACCATTAAAAACATCTTATAGAAAACTCTTATAGACACGGGATACTGCCCTATAATTTAATGCAAAAAACATATTGAAATATATAGATTCAAGATGTGGGAGACCGCAACGAGATCGCATTAAGTAAATGGCGCTATTGTGGCGATGATTGCTAAGTTTTGTAGCGATGACTCGCGGGAACGAAACTCAGGTTTCTTTGACAGCGGCTGTCATCTTGATATTTCGGAATGAAAGGACTCGATCAACGGTCTTTTTGTCGGGTATGCGGTCATTAACAGCTATGCACTTTGCATCAAGGTGTACGGTGGAATAATGTATTTTCGCGGAAACGCAGTTAATGAGGCCGCGTGTTCGCAGAATATAAGACGGTCTAGGCTTGATGAAATTTCGTCTAATCGCATATACCTAGGTACACTGGAAATGTTTAGAAAATGAAAAACGGCTTAATTTAGCTTTATTAGGCTTAGAAAGTTGCCAATACTTTTATTGTTTTTCGAAGCGATCTCCGTTCCTCTCTACACATCGTCGCATTCGATGGAACCACTGAGAATATCAATAGAGAATATAAATCATTGACCGAAAATTTTCTGGCGTTAGGCTCACTTTCACGTGTAACAAGAGTTTTAGATTTGCCGGGAATTCGCAAAAACACATGACAAATGAATGCAATATATGATAGGTTACCAAAGAGTTCTAAAATTGAAATTTAAAAAGGTTTTCATTAGCAATGTTTCTAACTGGCCAGTTCTAAACATTTTCAGTGTTACCCACGTATAAGCACTTAAGCATAGGAAAAGTAAAATTAAAAAACATTTATTTTTCAGCAAATAAAATCCAGTGGCGCTATATCATGATCTCAGATTTCTGTATCTACCTCGTATTTCGCTCATTTTCTAATAAATAAATTATCAGCCTTCTGTGCCTTACACTGTCAATATCAAAGGTTTGCCGGTTATCTGAATGTTTTTCTTTACCGTACTAGCGATACTTTATTGCACACATAGCACATAGAATAGTCCATCGGTGTACAGGCGTGTATCGAATACATGTCATGGTTGAGAGGCTCATTCAACCAACACTAGGTTAACGGTAGAAATGGACTGCAAATTCACCAATAACATCGGTATTAAAGATCAGTGAAATCCAAAGCTATCAAAACCAATAACTATCTTAGTACCACGTCGGTGTATATCGGGAACTCAAAATGGTTCACGAGAAACGGCGCGTTGAGAATGATAGATGTTGTTGCTAGGTGAACGGTTAGACTATGAATAATTCTAATAATTAATACGTCTCGCGGCACTTGTCTCTATGTGCGATTATGATTTATAAACGAAGAAATGAATTAACTTCGGTTACGACTATCAGTTTATTGCGTTCAGTTTAATTTATTGGACATTAAGATAGCAGGTAAAAGGAATTCGGCATAAGCTCTGATTATAGCTGATAATGGAGGTCGTATAACCCTTGTGAAGTATTTAAAACAGCCCTAAATAATTAAATTAATACTATTTTTATATAGGAATAAAATGTTATAAAAAATAAAATAAATCAGGCTACAACCTTTTTTTTTTGGGTCTGGGTCCCAGATTTCTGTCTCTTTCATGATCATTTGTCAATCTAATTGGCAAGTAGGTGATCAGCCTCCAACGACAAACATTGCGACTTTTTGGGTCTAAGGCAAGCCGGTTTCCTCACGATGTTTTCTTTCAAGGGCGTGCGTCAGGCCCAGGAGGCTGATCATCTACTTGCCTTTTACAAATAATCATGAAACAGATACAGAAATCTGAGGCCTAGACATAAAAAAGTTTTAGCGCCACTGATTTTTTTTATACACAATTTGAGCACGGAAGGCCTTAACTACAAAATTAAAACTGCTATCCGATAGCGAAGTGCATTCGCATAATAATTAAGTTCTCATCAAAAAAGAAAATGTGATTTGGAGAACAAAGTTCTGTAAACATTATTTTTGATAATGTTGCTAAAAGAACATTTAACATTCTGGCGTGAAAAACAGTAAATACTGAAAGACAGAAGAAAGAAGTGACCCAACATCTGTTGATATCTGCATTTTTTATGGAGCAAAAGTTCTTACCTCGACATGGTCCGGGGTAATCCAACGTCAAATGCTTGGCTGGACGTCTACAGGCTCTTCGTCTGAGCCGGCAAAGAGATCGATAAGTCTTTCCATCGCTTCCACAAACGGGACCTGCACGGCGGCACGTCGCTGCGCACACGCATCTAGCTCTGCTACCTCTTACCACGCACCGCCTCCCCGCACCACATGACACACCGGCGCAGGATTCTGTACAAAAAAAATGCATGAAAGGTGAACGGAAAATCGGGAGCAAAACCTATAGAAGCAAATGATGAAAGAAACAGACATATAAGACCAAGGTCATTTGGGATTGTAGCGCTACAGATTATTGTATGTATTATTTGTGTAAAGGCCGGCAACGCACTTGCGAGCCTTCAGGCAATGTGCGTGTCCATGGGCATGGTATCACTTTAAATCAGGTGGGCCTTCTGCCCTTTTGCCTCGAGTTACTTTAAAAAAAAATACATTATCTATATTTATATCTCATAGAACTTTAGATTCAGATAAAATTACCATAATGGCCGTCAAAAACTATCGGATTTTAGAAATTATTTCACCATTAGAATGGCCATAGGCCATTTTATTATAATATTTAAAAAAATAGTATTTAATGAAAGCCGAGAAATATATGTTATAGTTTTTTTACATAATATGCATTCAATATAATATAATGTAATGTAGATAGATCGTTTTTTTTATTAAAATTATAAAGTGTGAAAATTCTAAAAAGTTGTAAACGTATTGAATAATTACAATGTAATTCTATATTTAGTTACACACACATCCTGTACCTTTTTACACGTAAATAAACAAAACACTATCATCTCCGTATAATCTACGCGAATCCCTATTTCCCCGTACCATAATAGTAATTAAAACAGTTACTATTATACAACAGCTGAATGACCGCAAAATGGAGCAGTTTACGGATTATTCTCCAAGTCCTCTCATTACTTGAATAGAGCTTTCCCCATCACCGGTTCTTAATAAGCTATTGTTGAAAAAGCGAATTGTATAGTTGAATACAGTTTCAGGACACGTGTGACTTATTGAGATCCGGTCCTAGGGGTTTTTATTGGCTTCTCTGTGTTGTGATCGTAGAATTTAAATACATTTATTCCACACTTTTAGACATACAGTCAAAACCGTTTACGACGACATCTTTTAGAACAACATACTGGTTGTATTGACCAAAATCAAAGGTCCCGGCTGAATTCTATTGTATTAGGTTCTTAATAACAACGTCATCGATGATGAGTTCCTTCGATGTGACATGACAGATTTTGACTGGTCAAAATCTGTTATAACGACATCGCAGGTACCGGTATGTTATTCTAAACGTTGTCGTCGTAAACGGTTTTGACTGTATATACTTAAATTATTGCGATAAGGTTTAACGCTATCGTGTTAAATAATGAATTAGGTTGTTTTTTTATTACATATAACCTTAAAGTACAGATAACACTAAAGGGGTTTAAGCTTGGTGCCTGAAAGGCTACACCACAGTACAAAATTGTAGCTATAAACTAAAGAATTAAAAAAACAATTAATACAAATAACGAATCGAAAACATTACAACAGCGACAAAAAAAGTTTTTATACTTTATAAGTAATATTATTGTTTTAAATTTATGGACGCAAATAATCACAGGTCAAAAAATACTTTTTAAGGGCCTACCCTTGAAATTTTTGGATGTTATTTTAAGATTTGAAGGTAAATTAACAAGGCGCGGAACAATATATGAGGTATGAAGAACGGATCGTATACATTAGATGTTGAATAAGAATATTTAACGAATCTTTAGTATACTTTTTAAAAATGTCTAAACACACTGAAACTATGATAAAAGCAAATCAACGATACGAGAAAGGAATTCTGTGAACAGAACCGAAGTAGGCCATATTGAATCGTTAAGGAAATCCAATAACTTTTAAATAATCAATTAATACAATTCCATTAGGTTTTTTATAAATTCTCACGAAGTTTAATCAAAGCGCCGGGAATATAAATTTAAATGCAAATTATCTCTTAACTTTTCGTATTCATTAGTTAAAGATAAAGTTACTTGATTTTCATGTTTCACGATTAACATTTTTTTGTTTTTTAAAAAGGAATATTTGCTAACCAAGGAAAATTGTATGATCGGATTTCTTCAACGTGCCGTGAATCATCCAAAAATAGTAAATGATAAAAACAAAGTTTGTAGCGTCACTCATTATTTTATGATGTAGGCCGACGGGTTTGGGGGAGATGGCTAGCACCTGAGTACATAATATAAATTATACAATACTGGTAGTATTAATAAAGTGAAATTATAATATAATGATAACGTATGCAAATGTTTAATTAAACGTTCATTGAACTGTTTGTTCTAATTTAATTTTAATTTTCAATACAGGTTATGTAATTTATAAAAAAAATAATAAAACGCTACAACCTCTTTAGGTCTGGGCCTCAGATTTCTGAATCTGTTTCATGATCATTTTTAAATCTAATAGGCAGGTAGGTGATCAGCCTCCAGTGCCTGACACACGCCGCGGTCGTTGTCTTTCTGGGAAGACTGTCAGTTTCAAATTTTCAACTTTGAAATTAAATGTAAAGTTCCCTGTTTTCAGTCCACTGTTCACTTATCTTGTTTTTACAATTAAGGCTTCAGAACAGACACAATTATTATTATTGTTAGTCTTGATAGAGCTTTTTATATTGGTATAATACATTAATTCCAATTAAAATTATAATAATTTACGCTTTTCAGGAAATCTTGGAATTATAGAAGTTCTATTGACATCTATTGGTACACAATATGGAAAAATGGAGGACAATGGGGGAGGCCTTTGCCTGTAGGCACACAGAATCGGTTATCGTATATTAAGAAAAAAATCTATAATGTATATATTTTGTATTCTGATATAAGGCTAACAATAAATATTGTCATCAATATTTTATCGTCAATAAAACACGTAAAACTAGGATTTTTAATATGTTTTCTCTTACCAGCACAAGCAGTACAGGGTACACCACCAGACAGTGCCTTGTAGAAGAATATCTCGCCGCTGTCTAGGTCTCGTGGACTCCACGCGGCCGGCGCTCTGGCCCCGCCCGCGCAGCATTCCGCCCGTCCCACGCGGAGCGCCGCCACAGAAGTACACCTACCGCCACGCTCCATTCCGGTCCAACAAATCCCGGCTGAAAGTAGAGACTATTTAAAACGTGTTGAACAAACGATTATATAGAATACAGCTAGTGCTGAATACAACTAGTAGTGCTAGACAGGCTACTTCTAATTAATTTGCGATATTTGTTTTAAAATAAGTGTTGTTTGATGATTTGCTGTTTTAAAAGAGTACCGAGAGTTTTTTACGCCGGCTTTTTCTCTCGGCCTACACCCTCTGTCTTGTTTGCCGATGAGTAGGGATGCCTACAAATTCAAATTTAATGACGTGGAATAAGTGATACATGTATCTTATGTTCCATAATAAACATATTTTATTTTTTATTTTTACAGCAAAAGGTTTTTTTATAATTACAATTAAACCCGTAGATGAACAATGATAGTAGTGAATTAAGTTAGAGTAGGATTTCCATAGACTTAACAGAAAGATATATACAACTCTAGTTTCATGACATATACTTCTTGGGTACGCCAATAAAGGTCGTAATATCTCAAGACCTATTCCAACTTACATATAATAGGAACGCTAGTCGCTAACAAAAGAATAAAGCTTTCGATTAGTCAAACAATGAAATAGGAAATGAAAAAGGGGAACCGAACAAAGTCAATAAACTTATAATTTATAGAGTTTAAGAGCTCTCGAGGGCTACGCTATGTACTGATTGTTTTTACTCACAGTTTCGTTAATAACGTGCCAGACAACGTCATTTAAGATTGCTAACGTCCTTAATACGATATTATTTATTTTTAATTTCATGCCAGCATTTCTATGAAAAACCAAAGATATTTTTTTTAATTTAATCGTATTTTAAGACAGTGTTTGCCGCCACTACTATGTGGAACGCTGCTCACCGATGTACTTTCGAGCCAATTCAACTTAGGGTCCTTCAAGAAAAAAGCGTACCCATTCTTAAAAGGTCGGCAACGCACTTGCGAGGCCTCTGGCAATGTGAGTGTCTATGGGCGGCGCGCGGTATCACTTAACGTCAGGCCTCCTGACAGTTTGTTACATAAAAAAAAATGTTTTAAATACTACCTTACTCTGTCCATAAATGAGCGGACTTTAACGGAAACCGCCCAAAAAATAAGCATAACAAAAGGAAATAACTTTCGCAACAGCTCATCAAATTGTCAGTCAAAAACGTTTCTTGATTCAGACTGGCCATAAAAGCGCAACAGTTTACAATACAGGAACGATGTATGTATATGTCCATATACAGCATGGGTTGGGATACTCGTTCCAAAGTTCACAAGATGCGTATGGGATTCCTGAGTGAGTCACGACTCGCGAGTCGCTAGACGTTCGACAGACGCTATTTTTCATATCGTCTGGTACATGGTCAGCCAGTCCATTTTTCCTCTTACGCGCGTTAATTTTAAAATATTCAAACGGCTTTAATTCATTTCAGCTTAACACGAACCGAGAATTTTAAACGTTATTTTTTATTGCGACCGACGCAATCTTTCGGTCGTTAACAAATATGTATTTTTGAATTATTTGTTTTCAGAGCACTCTAAATTCTTTTAGCTTTCATCTATTCATAGAGACCGTATGGTTTAGGGGTTTGTAATTAAATTTATGCTGTCTCTAGTACGGAAACCTGAACCAAAATTAGTAGTAGCATTTATTTATTAAAGTTACAGTATATGTTACAAGCTATATTTTCTAAAATATATGACAATTATGGTAAACATAAATGTAACAAAAAAATTAAAAAGAAAAATTCAATAAAAAAATTAATGTTCCAATTTTAAATTTAATTAGTAACTAGCTGTTCCTGCCACGCTTCGCTGTGGCATATTGTGATTGAATGGTTGAGAAATGTGAAACAAAACAAAACAAAGAAAAAATTTCATATAAGATTAATTTTGCAATACTTGTGGGAAAAAAAAAATAAAATAAAAAAACAAAAAAAATGATAACAAAAATAGATACATGTACACAAACCAACATAATATTTTTATATATATATATAGATTTTTGCTTAGCAATAAGCGGTAGTAATGCAGCGGATTAGGTATCAGATAGGCACTTAACAATGCCTCTTTTAAAATTAATCAATCCACTTATACTGATGCAGTTGATGCAACATTGTAACAGAGTTATCGGTACATATATAATCTATATGTTGTATTTCAAAACCTGACTGGAGCCACGCAGACGCTGACCAGTCACCAGACGTGATTTTTTTACATTCAGGGCATGCATCCTGAATGGGCATTTATTTTTGTTTAAACTTACCTGTTGTATTTGTGATCAGCGGTAAAAATGTAAATGAAACAGAATAATGATTTTGATGCCGCGACACGGGCGTTGACTCACACCTGAACGTATCAAAGTCTTATTGTTATTATAGAGAAAACATAAACCTTATTTGAAAAGACAAAGTATCAATAATTTGGCAGTCCCAACGCGTATTTATCTTAATATATATATAAATTACGCGTAACGTTGTTTGTCCGCTATGGACTCCTAAACTACCGAATCGATTTCAATCAAATTTGCTCACCGTGTGCAGTTTGATCTAACTTAAAAGATAGGATAGCTTACATCTCAATTTATTCACGCAATATTATTTTATTGCAAAATATTTGTTTATTATTTGATAGTCACAATTATAACAGCTGGCGCTGTGTTGAAAGTAAGTTCAAATAAGCTACAATTTAATGGCATTACCACCAAAAAAGCATGTTGGTCCCCATGACTGGTGTTCTCCTAACGTTTCCCTTGAATAGTTTACTACTATGTAATACATATAACTAAAACCTTAGCCACATCAACGCTTGGCCGGTCTGCTAGTATACTATAGATTACAAAAAATATTGACGTCATATTCAAAGTCGTATTGCGAAACGAAATTCTTAGCTAGTTCCGTCATATGGCGCCAATTTCGGCTCCGAAGCGGATCTCAAACACATGCCTAAATTTTTTTGCCTCGACGCTTTTAAAATACGAACTTTGAACGTTTTTTTTTGTTTATTAATTACGTACAAAAAATGAATGGAATTTTAATTATCTATCTATTTGAATAAGATACTTATTAAGTTTTTGATTGATTGTAACTACGATTGTTAAAAGTATAGATTACATATTGTCTTGTGAAAGATTAAGTGTCAGTTGTTTTTTAATGTCAACGTCAACTTTTAAATATTAATGTCATACAATATGGAATATAGTGTAATGGTAACAATATTAATAAAATTAAACTTATAAACATAAACTAATAATAATAAAATAATATACATTGAAATAAATAACGAAACTTAACATAAACTAAAATATATCATTAAAAGGAGTCCCTTTAGGCAAGGTTCCGAAGATACTGGCAGCGTTCCCCCTTTGAATTGCTAGACTAATTCTTTGTCCGAGGTAGCTGCCAGATCTTCGGTCTCCTGTGATGTCGACTAACCTTTTTGAAATTTCTTTAAAAAGCCTTAAAGCGCTAGGACCCCACGGACCAAGGGTCTCGACACCGAATGGGACAAAATCATATTCAGAGCCCAGACCCCTGTATTTGCCTGCTTTATTTTTTTCAGCCGCTTCACAAGCCGCACCAGCTCTGTAGTTGGTTCCATGTAGATGGGAAGGGGCCAGCGTGTCTGAACAGGTTGCATCCCATACCAGTACCCGACCCATCTTCCATGGAATCAAACTCATACCGTCCGGTCTCTTGCCATCGTCTCTTGCAATACCACTTGGCTCAAGAAGACTTGGCACGTTGACGGTGGCAAGGGAACGGCGTATGATATCGTTAAGTGCGGCATGTCTCGAGAAGCGGCCTGCACTTTTTTGGCATGACAGGCCGTGATGTCCTAACTTGTCGACATCACTGCCACAGGGACATATATGAGGAGCGCAGACCGGAACCCCAAGCCGTAGACAGGTTGCGATTCGAAGCGTGTCAGGCTCAAGAAAAGTTCCTGTATTTGACGATGGGTAAGCGTGAAGCCAGTAGCCGGCCTCATGCGTGCCCACGGCCAAAAGCCTAGCACGCGCCGAACCCGTACTACGACTCAAAAGATCGTCAAAAGTCAACTTGCAGTGTATGTCATCCCAGCTCCTCTGTGAATTTAGAGATAATGGAAAATTTTGACCTGGGCATGCAATCAAGAAAGCGTTTCTAGCTTCTTCCAAGCCAGCAATCTCAAAGTTTGAAGGGGATGCCCTTAAAATTTTACTTATGAGATTTGCTGAACTATGGACAGAAGATAGAAAGGCTGGTAAAGGACACTGGAAATTTAGCGAATCCCTAAACCACCATAACGGATGGGTAGGGAAGCTTGGGTCCAAGATTTCTCGTTCAGCTGCATATTAAGAAGTGATTCTAAGCTAATTTTGATTAAGTCGTCTAATGGTGTTAAAATATCTGGGTGATTCCAAAAGGAGCAGCAACGGAGCACATACGTAAATTTTGGGAGGAAAAGACAGAATTTTAAGATGCAAAGTGCATAATGTGGACTAATTTCAAGGAGACGGTCAGCAGAATTTTGAAATTTAGTAATTGAAGTATGAATATAATCAGAAATAGATTCATTAAAAATTGGAGAACCTAAAAGGTAAAGGGAATTCCTGTTAACTATTTTAATATTTGGAGCCAAAATTTGAAATTTTTTTTTACATCATTTAAATTTAAGTCGCAGTTATTTATGAAAAGTTCGCATTTGTTAAAATTAAGCTCCAAACCAATGGCTTCAAATTTATTTTTGATTAAAAGAAGGTCCGAAAACACAGTATCCACATCACCTCCTAGGGTTCCGTCGTCCAAATACCAAACATTGAAATTAGAATTTAAATTTTTGATTATGGGATTTATAGCCAAACTAAAAATTGCAGGCCCAAGGGGATCACCCTGTTGACAACCTACTTCCGAGGAAAGTTCATTAGAACGATATAACAATTTAGTTGGATCAGCGTAACTGAGAAGAAGATAATTGTATATTTCCGGTATATGTTGTTTTATTTCAGTCAGCAGGGTATCCCTATTTACCGAATTAAATGCATTTTTCACATCAATTTTGAGCAACACGTCTGGCTGTCCGTGACTTAGGAAAGAGCGTAGGGCATGGACGGCTGCCTCACACCCTCCTTTCACACCGAAGCCTAACTGTACAGGTTCAAATTCTGAATTTAATTTTGGTAAAATATGTCGAACAGCAATTTTGGAAGCCAGACGTCTTAGTGTTGAACCAACAGCAATTGGTCTCACCCCTCCGTCCTTTTTAGTGAGGGCAATGAGGTTCGCGCCGAAAAGAATGGGAACAATTTCTGTATTGACATCCCCGGAATACATAAAATTTATTAATTTTGTGATCGAGTTAATAAGTTGCTCGCCTGCATCACCCACAGAATGCGATGTTAAATCTTTCAAATGTTGGGGTGAGATTCCATCCAATCCTGCTGCCGAACCTGGTTTAAAAGATAAAATTGCATCAGTTACATCTTTGTTTCGAATTTTAAGGCATGCTTGCCCTGCTGTTGGTGGGTCGAGAAAATATGGGTTTACTGGAGCTGGGGGATGTTTAGTCCGTAATGCCTCAAGGGTGTCAGGCGTATCTGGCGATAGCACGTCATTGGAGAACAAAAGACGAGCGGCACCTTTAAGATCTCCGTCACAAATTTTGTTCTCGATGAGTTTTTTGCGATTAAAAGGGGCATCATGTTTAATTAGAGGTGCGGGAGAAGGTGAGGAACTTACAGCACAGTTATTCTTTATCTTTTGTGTCAGGGATAAATTCGGTTCATCAGTTTTTATTATGTGTAGTGTACTGTATGAAAATAAAAATAAGTTCTGCCAGTCTTGAGTACAATTGCTTATATAACATTTCTGGATTAATTTTGACAAATGTGTAGCAACAGTTATTCGTGCTCCGCGAGGGATTCTTTTAACAATGGGTATACTATTTTTCAAATGGCTAAGTAATGTATGAAAAGGAGTTGGAGCGTTGGCTGCAAAAGTAGGCGCACTCGGAATAATGGGATGGATTTCTAAAAGTGAACTGGTTTGGCTAATACAGTTCCTGTGTGTTTTAGAAATGTGTATTTTGAGGCCTTTCAAAGATTTGAAAGACTTGTTGCAAAATGTACATGTATGGGACGCGATCGACGTGCCATCACAAGATAGGGTCACGGCCTGCATTCACAACAGTTAATAAACTAACATAAAAAAAAACAATAACTTAAAACAAATTTAAAAACACAAAAAAGTAACTTAAAAAGGACACATAACAAAAAATAGGACAAGATCAAAAATAAAAATGAAGGCTGCTGGTTTTGGTAACTCTTCGTTTCGTCACAGGATGAAAATAAAATAAACACACAGGCATCAGCAGGAGCACAACACAAGCAAAAGCAGGAGCACAACACAAGAAGAAGCAGGAGCACAAGCAAAAGTATAAAGAGCACAAGCAAGAGCACTGAGAAAAAAGGGTTCAGGTTTAGGCATAAGCAAATTTTGTCTGACCACTATTAAATTGTCCGTTTCTTAGACTTTACGTAATTTTATTTTATTTTGTTTTTGTTTATTTCCATTTTTTACGCATTCAATATCATCATTTTGCATCATATTCCATTTAATTTAATCAATTTTTATTTCTAAATTCTCATAAATATTTTTTTCATGTTGTCACTTTGACAACTTTTACTTTTTTTTATTGTCAGTTGTATTTTAATGTCAACGTCAACTTTTTGTATTCAAATTGACAATTGACAACGTACAACTTTATAAAATTAATAAATAGCTACGTTTTACTTTTTGATTAAACAAAAATTAGCACGCATAAAATATTCAGCGCCAAACGATGTTGTCAAGAATCCAAGATTAAAACAAATATAGAAGAAATGTCACAGATTCAGGTATAAACTTATTCTTGCTGCAATATAAATAGAGCAAAAGTAATGGCATTTCTGTCCACTACTCCGTTATTTGTGGGCACATGAATGGTCCGAAAATAGACATACGAAATAATACGCACCGTTTGTTTTCATTCTGTGGCAATATTAATATGTCGCCGCCTGGTCACGTCAATATATTATGTGGATTTTCAAAACAAATTACTGACATCCAATTTCCAGTGAAACAAAATATTTTGCGTTTACTCATTGAAGAAACAAACAATATTCACCAGCCAAAGTATAGTTTTAAGAACATCTTTGTTGAAAAACGAAAATATCTTTCACGAAATAAATAATGCTTATACATGTATCTTATTCTGGCCATACAAT